GAACTGATGTGATGCTATTTATAATGGCTATTTATCCAACCCGGGGTGAATATTTGTATATCTAGCTATAGAAATACTATTGTGTTTGATTATACACACTCCGCTGGAGTGTTCTATGATAAATATACTGTATTACTTTTATAAAATCCAAACAAAATTCTGGATTCTGAAAACATCTGCCCCCAAGTTACCAAGTATTGTCAGCCTGCTGTGTGTACCTCAGGGGAGTGTCCTGGGGATCGAGTGTGGTGAAGGGGATGCTGTTTACATGGTGGTGGCACTCACTGGGCTTCTCCCTACAGAACACGTGCCTTAGGGCCCTGGCACCACACACGTGCTCAAACACAGTAAGAGCTAATGCAAAGGTAGTAGCTTGCTATGTGCCAGACTCCGTTCTAGGTGTTTTATATCTTACTCCCTCTTTTTATGCTCACAGCAACCTTTATGAGGTGCATACTATTATTATCTCCATTTTGCAGATGAGGAAACTGAGGCACAGGAAGTTAAATAAATTGCTCAAGATCATCAACTAGTAAGAGAAAGGAGTCAGATGTTAGCTACTATTATTTTCTCCCTTCTGTACTCTCATCGTGGCGCTGTGAATAATGAAGGAGTGAAGGAGGGGAAATCCATGTTTATTGAAAACTTCCCATGAGCTACTTTCAAGTCGTATCTCATTTTATCCACAAGACAAATCTGAGAAGGATGCACAATTGCTCTTATTTTTGTGGAGGGAGCGGGAAATGCTCACGTGACTCAGTGAGAGAAGGGCTAGCTGCACTCTGGCCGTGCTTCCTCCTGTTGCAAACCTGTTCCTGTGTCCGGGGAGGTGTTGACTGGGGCCTGGAGGAGCTGACTCACTGGATGAATGGAGACTGCTGCTTTGACTTGGACTCTCGTCTGAGCCAGACCCACTGTGTGACTCTCCTTGACCCCACTGCCCAGGCAGCTTGATTTATCTTTTCTGTGTCCCTGACCTTCACGTCCAAACCACTGGTCAGCCCTCACTGAAGTTCTAAGCTGGCTTTTTGAAATGACTTGCGCTTCAGGGTCCAGCAATCTGGACTCTGTAGGGCCCGAGGCCCTGAGTTAGCTTCTGAGAACCCAGCGCCCAAGCGGGAGTCCCCAGGTGGGCCTGGATGCCCTGGGGTGGCTGCTTTCTCTGCTCTTCATCTCGGTTCTCCCTGGGCTATCTGTGCAGACCTACATGCTCTTTTGTAAAAGGATCTCAACTCATTTCTAAGGCAAGTCCCAAGCTTTTTTTTTTTTTTGGCTTCCATCTTTGGATTCCCTCTGCAGGGTTTCACCCTTCCAGTTCACCCACATATATGCATGAATCTCTAGCTTTGATCCGCTGTCGTCCATCTCCTTCTCCCCATCAGGCTCCCCTTTCTTCCCTTCGTGCTAATGAAATTCTCAAAAGAGAATCTTGATCTTCTACTCATTCGGTCTGCTCTCCACTCCCCCGAATCTGGCTCCTACCCCTCATCCTGCGTTTCAGAGACCTCCAGTGGTCGCCTCACTGCCCTGGGGCTCTCTCTCCTGCTCTCTCCACCGTCCAGTGGGCTTTGAGGCGGTCGACCCCGCCCTCCTGGACAGCTTTTCTGGGTTCTGGGCCTGGGGCTTGGGTTCCTCCAGGGCCTTTTGCTGCCCATCTTCATTTTCCTTTGCCAGCTCTTCTTAGACTTCCTACCTGCTTATTCCTGCGAATTTGTGTTTCTACTGCTGGTCGATATGCTGCCTTCCTTATGATACTTCTGAGTTTATGGTTTCGACTATTGCCTCTAGGTGTTTGGCTTCCAAATTGTGGTCTGACCTGCCGTCTATCAGAGAGCAGACCTGCCTCCGGCTGTCTGATGGGTGTGCCCC